AGAAATATATATTTTAGTCTTTAACCCTGGCTCCTGGCCAGAGCTCCTAAAACTTTAGAATTTCCTAAGTGATAAAGGTTCTAGGAGAATCTTCTGTTCTAATATTGGGTCTTTGACTCCAGTTCCTGACATAGAGCTCCAAAATCCCTTAAAGTTTTCTGGGTGATACAGTGTCTCTTCTTCTAATGAGGCAAATCTTGGTGGGCTCCTGGACAGCTTCAGGATGGGGGGCTGGTCACCAGAGAGACCTAACCATGGTTAGAAGCTTGGAATGTTCAGCCCCCCTTCCCATCTTGGGCTAGGGCCTGGAGATTGAGTTAATAATCTATCATGCCCATATGATGAAGCCTCCATAAAAATTCCTAAAGTATGGGTTTTGGAGAGCCTCTGAGTGGGTAGACATGTGGAGGTGCTGGGAGGGTGGCATGCCCAGACAAAGCATGGAAGCTCTGACTCCTTTCTCCCCATTCCTTGTCTTACGCATTTCTTCCATCTGCCTGTTCCTACATTGTATCCTTTTATAATAAACTAGCAATCTGGTAAGTAAACTGTTTTCCCGAGGTCTGTGAGCCATTCTAGCAAATTACTGAACCCAAGGAGGGGTCATGAAAACCTATGATTTATAGTTGGTTGATCAGAGAGAAGAGGTGATAACCTGTAGTTGGCGTCTGGAGTTGGGCGGTGAGTCTTGTGGGACTGACGCCTTAACCTGTGAGACCCCGATGTTAACTCCAGGCAGGAAAATTAAATTAAATGGTGGGAAACTCGGTTGGTGGTGCCTACAGAGAACTGGAGAATTGCTTGGTGTGAGAAAAACCCATATGTGTTTGGTGATAGGAAGTGAAGTATGGAGTGGAGAGTGTTGAGAGTAAAGTCAAAAAAATGAAACTTTCTCCTTTTGGGAGTGGTTAAATTATGGATTATTTTTTGATAAAATCTTAAGCAGACATCAAAATTCATGTTAAAGTTCTAATGATTTGTTGGAACACTCACAATATAATTACAGTTATGTACACAAAATAAAAATAATTGAGGATGACCCCAATTTTTTATTTAATTTTTAAAAGACTAGATAGAAATATATCAACATGATCATAGTGATGATCTCCAAGTGATTATTCAGTGATTTACATTTTCTTGGGTATATTTTTCTGTAGATCCTAATTTTTATATAATGAATATGTATTATTTTTTATTTTGAAAAATCTTTAAGTGTAAAATAATTAAATGAGGGCCTAGTATGATTCTTTTTTTGAGAGAGAGAGTAGGTGCATGCAAGGGGTGGTGAGGGGCAGAGGGAGAGGGAGAGAATCCCAAGCAGACTCTGCACTGAGCTCAACGTGGAGCTTAATCCCACCACCCTGAGTGAGATCACAACCTGAGCCAAAATCAAGAGTCGGATGCTTAACCAACTGAGCTACCCAGGTGCCTTGGGCCTGGTATGATTCTTAAAATACATTTACCTTGCCTATTTTTTCTGGATCATATTTTTCAAATTCTCTCATGTTACTGAATCCCCCTCTGAACCTGCCTTTCAGCCACTTCTCTGCATCTAGTAAATCTTCTTGTTCTTCCTCTATTCTTTATATTTTTCTGACACGGCTTCCAGATATTACTGAAAAGGAAAAACACCAAAGTAAATCTTGATTACAGTTGTAAGATACAAAATTAATGTACAGAAATGCAATTCTATACACTAACAACAAAGTAGCAGAAAGAGAAATTAACAAAATAATCCCATTTATAATTGCACCAAAAAGAATGAAATACTTGGGAATGAGTTTAAACAAGGAGACAAAAGACCTGTACCTTGAAAACTATAAAACACTGATGAAAGAAATGATGATGACACAAACAAATAGAAAGATATACCATGCTTGTGGATTGCAAAAATTCATATTGTTAAAATGTCCATACTACCCAAATCAATCTACAGACTCAATGCAATCCCTATCAAAATATCAGTAGTATTTTTCATGGAACTAGAACAAACAATCCTAAAATGTATATGGAACCACAAAAGATCCCAGATAGCCAAGAAATCTTGAGAAAGAAAACAAAGATGGAGGTACAACAATTCCAGATTTCAAGATATGCTATAAAGCTATTGTAAGCAAAACAGTATGGTATTGGCACAAAAATAGACACATAGGTCAAGAGAACAGAATAGAGAGTCCAGAAATGAACCCATGTATATGTGGTCAATTAATCTATGGCAAAGAAGGCAAGAATATACAACAGGAAAAAGACAATCTTTTCAATAAATGATGCTGGGAAAACTCGACAGCTACATGCAAAAAAACCTTTTCTCACCATATACAAAAATAAACACTAAATGGAGTAAAGACCTAACTGTGAGACCTGAAACCATGAAACTCTTGTGCATTGGCCTAAGCAACTCATTTATGGATTTGTCTCCTCAGGCAAGGGAAACAAAGGCAAAAATAAACTATTGGGACTACACCAAAATAAAAAGCTTTAGCAACAGTGAAGGAAACCCTGAACAAAATGAAAAGGCAACCTAGTGAATGGGAGAAGATAATTTGCAAATATTGGATATATCCAATAAGGGGTTAATATTAAAAATATATAAAGAACTTTACAACACCAAAAAAATAATAATTTTATTAAAAATGGGCAGAGGACCAGAATAGACATTTTTCCAATGAAGACATACAGACGGCCAACAGACACATGAGAAGATGGTCAACATCACCAATCATTAGGAAAACGCAAATCAAAACCACAATAAGATATAATCACACCCCAGTCAGAATGGCTAGTATCAATAAGACAAAAAGTAACAAGTGTTGGCAAGAATGTGGAGAAAAGGGAAACCTTGTGTGCTACTGGGGGAAATGAAATTGGTGCAACCACTGTGGAAACAGTATGAAGGTCCTCAAAAAATTAAAAATAGAGATATTATATGATCCAGTAATTCCACTACTGGGTTTTTACCCAAGGAAATTGAAAACACTGATTAAAAAAGATATATGCACCCCTATGTTTATTGCAGCATTATGTACAATGGCCAAGATAAGGAAGCAACCCAAGTGTCCATTCATAGATGAATGGATAAAGAAGAGGTAGTGTGTGTGTGTGTGTGTGTGTATTGCATATATGCATATATACACAATGGAATATTACTCAGCCATAAAAAAGAATGAAATCTTGCCATTTGCAACAACATGGATCGACCTAGAAAGTATTAAACTAAGACAGAGACAGAGAAAGACAAATATCATATGATTTCACTTATATGTGGAATCTAAAAAACAAAACAGGAGAATAAACAAACAGACTCTTAAATACAGAGAATGAACTGGTGGTTGCCAGAAAGGAAGGGAGTGGGGGGGGATGGGTAAAATAGGTGAAAGGAATTAAGAGGTACGAACTTCCAGTCACGAAATAAATAGGTCATTAAGATAAAAAGTACAGCATACAGAATATAGTCAATAACATTGTAATAATGTTGTATGGTGACTGATGGTAACTACACTTATCATGGTGAGCAGTAAGGTATAGAATTGTTCAATCACTACGTTGTACCCTTGAAACTAATTTACCATTGTATGTCAACTATACTTCAAGAGTAAATGTTTTCAATTACATAAAATCTCCAAAAGGTAATTAGGCTTGACTCTTGGTATAAAGTATCATTTTACTTCAGGAAATAAAGATTTAAATAAGCTTACATAAAAATCCAAAATGCATTCAATTGGGTCAGAATTTTTTAGCCCAGGGTCCGTGAACATCTGGGATTCACAAATGTATTTCAAGTTTCAATTCATGAAATTGTATGCAAAATATCAAGTGCGTGTGGATCTTCCTGGAAAGAGAGTTCACAGTTAAATTAGGTTCTCATTTGGGTCTGTAACTACGGTGAAAAGCATCCTGGCTTACCCAGAACTGTTGCTTTTAGCACAGGAAGCCCTGAGTCCTAGGAACTCCTCAGTCTTGGACAAAAAACTGGGATAGGTGGTCACCCTTTCTTCAACCCAAGAAAGATCAATGAAAAATCATTCAAAGATTCCATTTAAATTCAATGCAAGGTATAAGTAAAAATTAGAAGATTACTTCTTGAGTCAGCAAGTGTTGCTATTCCTTATTTTACCTATGTCCTGAGAATTATTTTATATATCAACCAAAGCTACTGGTATCCTTCCTAGTTTCTAGGCTACCTGCAATTTGTAAATGACCCCGTTGTCACAAGGAACCCTTACCTGTTGTCATGTGTATTTGGTGGCTGTTGCATTGCTAGGTTGAGATGCGATTACCCTGGCAAGACCACTCCCCATATCAATCCAGAAGGGAAAACGCATGTCATCATATAAGAATCCTGGTTTGTGGTACGTTAGGAAACTCAGGTGCTCTCAATTGGTTTAGGTGCCAGTGACGACACCTCCAAACAGTGTACATGAAGCTAATTTTCGCCCTCATCGGAGGCAGGCTAGAAGTTAGAACAGTGGCAGGACAGGCCTCTCCATTTTCCCAACACTCCATGTGGAGAAGAATGGGGCCTGTGCCCTCCTGGGAGAAGCCCTATCTGCTAAGGCATACTCAAATTACGGCATCTTTTTTTTTTTTTTTATTCTTATGTTAATCCCCATACATTACATCATTAGTTTTAGATGAAGTGTTCCATGATTCATTGTTTGTGCATAACACCCAGTGCTCCATGCAGAATGTGCCCTCCTCAATACCCACCACCAGGCTAACCCATCCTCCCACCCCCCTCCCCTCTAGAACCCTCAGTTTGTTTTTCAGAGTCCATCGTCTCTCATGTTCGTCTACCCCTCCGATTTCCCCCGCTTCATTCTTCCCCTCCCGCTACCTTCTTCTTCTTTTTTTTTTTCTTAACATATATTGCATTATTTGTTTCAGAGGTACAGATCTGAGATTCAACAGTCTTGCACAATTCACAGCGCTTACCAGAGCACATACCCTCCCCAGTGTCTATCACCCAATCACCCCATCCCTCCCACCCCACCCCCCACTCCAGCAACCCTCAGTTTGTTTCCTGCGATTAAGAATTCCTCATATCAGTGAGATCATATGATACATGTCTTTCTCTGTTTGACTTATTTCACTCAACATAATACCCTCCAGTTCCATCCACGTCGTTGCAAACGGCAAGATCTCATTCCTTTTGATGGCTGCATAATATTCCATTGTATATATATACCACTTCTTCTTTATCCATTCATCTGTCGATGGACATCTTGGCTCTTTCCACAGTTTGGCTATTGTGGACATTGCTGCTATAAACATCGGGGTGCACGTACCCTTTCGGATCCCTACTTTTGTATCTTTGGGGTAAATACCCAGTAGTGCAATTGCTGGATCATATGGTAGCTCTATTTTCAACTTTTTGAGGAACCTCCATACAGTTTTCCAGAGTGGCTGCACCAGCTTGCATTCCCACCAACAATGTAGGAGGGTTCCCCTTTCTCCGCATCCCCGCCAACATCTGTCGTTTCCTGACTTGTTAATTTTAGCCATTCTGACTGGTGTGAGGTGGTATCTCATGGAGGTTTTGATTTGGATTTCCCTGATGCCGAGCGATATTGAGCGCTTTTTCATGTGTCTGTTGGCCATTTGGATGTCTTCTTTGGAAAAATGTCTGTTCATGTCTTCTGCCCATTTCTTGATTGGATTCTTTGTTCTTTGGGTGTTGAGTTTGATGAGTTCTTTATAGATTTTGGATACTAGCCCTTTATCTGATATGTCATTGGCAAATATCTTCTCCCATTCTGTCAGTTGTCCTTTGGTTTTGTTGACTGTTTCCTTTGCTGTGCAAAAGCTTTTTATCTTGATGAAGTCCCAATAGTTCATTTTTGCCCTTGCTTCCCTTGCCTTTGGCGATGTTTCTAGGAAGACGGCATCTTATTTAATTTCCAGTTTTAATCCACTGGCCTTTGGGGAGGTCTCCTTGGACAGCCTCTTTGGTCTCGGTGGTGCCACAGACAATCACAGGAGGACCGTGAGGCCACCGCTGCGGCGAGCAGTCCTTATGCTGGTGTGGCGGTGGCAGCAAGAATTAATGAGGCTCCAGGGCAAAAGTGCATCTCAGGGGAACAGAGGGGGGATTTTCTAGTCTAGCTGACTCTGACTCAACCAGAAGATTCTCTTTCCGGTATTCACCCTGGGCACTCTGGTTTTGTTCTATGAAGAAAGGTGACTATTGTTATATGCACATACTTTACAATGTCAAAGTATAAACATAGGTGGCTTTCTTCATCTGTGGAGTTTTTACCTGAAACTTTTGTGGTGTTTGATGATCCATTGTGATCCTCAATCCCCAGGTTTTTTTTTTTTTTTAAAGATTTTATTTGTTTGACAGAGAGAGAGACAGTGAGAGGGGGAACATAAGCAGGGGGATGGGAGAGGGAGAAGCAGGCTTCCCGCCGAGCAGGGAGCCCGATGCGGGGCTCCATCCCAGGACCCTGGATCATGACCTGAGCCGAAAGCAGACGCCCAATGACTGAGCCACCCAGGTGCCCCGAATCCCCAGGTTTTTAAGAGTCACATATCGTTTGAGAACACCTGTTCCGTTCTCATCATACCTGCATTAGTAGAAGTGATTCATGCAATTTTATACATAAGTTTTATGAAACTGTAAGTACATTATCTCAAGATGGCAAATGTGAGAGACTTGGGCCACCCATTTCCCCCTGTGGGTCTAAACCAAACAACACTATTAATCACAGTGTTCTTTTTGTTAAGCCTAGACTCAGCTTCAAAAATTTTCTCAACTTCTACCAGACATCTGGCAATGGCAAATTTTTTATTTATATAAAAAATATATTTATTTATATATGTGTGTGTGTACATATACACATACATAATAGATATGTCCATTCTTTTCATTTTTAAAACGAACAGTTCTCGGGCGCCTGGGTGGCTCAGTCGGTTGAGCGACTGCCTTCGGCTCAGGTCATGATCCTGGAGTCCCGGGATCGAGTCCCGCGTCGGGCTCCCTGCTCGGCAGAGAGTCTGCTTCTCCCTCTGCCCTTCACCCTGCTCGTGCTCTCTCTCTCAAATAAATAAATAAAATCTTTAAAAAAAAATAAATAAATAAAATAAATAAAACGAACAGTTCTCTAAAAATTCTATACCAGCCCACGTGTCCTGCTTTTGAGTTAAAAAAAAAATTATCACTCTATGCACACCATGTATACCCCAACCAACTGAGCCACCCAGGTGCCCCCCCCCTTTTTTTTAAAGATTTTATTTATTTATTTGAGACGTATACCCCTACACACGTAATTATGGAGAAATGCATCATCTAATGGCCGATGCTTTGCCCTCAGAGAATGACCATAAACCTTTGGCTTGTTAACCGGTTCCTTCTGCCCTTCCTGATAGCCAATAGCTATGCATCATTTGCAACTTGAGGTGAAGATCGGACATGAAGAACACAGTGAAGCAGCACAAATATGACAGCTCAGTAGCACAAGCTCTGGAGTTCAGCACCGAGTAGGCTCCAAATCTATATCCTAACTCTGCAATTTGTAAGTTCTTCTAATTTCTCTCTGAGTCTCAGATTCTTATAAAATGGAGAACGTAACACCTCCCTCACAGGGTTGTTAAGAAGTAAATGAGGGGGCACCTAGGTGGCTCAGTTGGTTAAGCGACTGCCTTCGGCTCAGGTCATGATCCTGGAGTCCAGGGATCGAGTCCTACATCGGGTTCCCTGCTCAGCGGGGAGTCTGCTTCTCCCTCTAACCCTCCCCCCTCTCATGCTCTCTCTCTCTATCTCATTCTCTCTCTCAAATAAATAAATAAAATCTTAAAAAAAAAAAAGAATCAATAAAGTCATCAAGGTGGAGCATCTTGGGTAATATAACCATTAATACAGAGGGGAGGGCGCCTGGGTGGCTCAGTTGGTTGGGCGACTGCTTTCAGCTCAGGTCATGATCCCGGAGTCCTGGGATCGAGTCCCGCATCAGGCTCCCGGCTCGGCGGGGAGCCTGCTTCTCCCTCTGACCCTCCCCCCTCTCATGCTCTCTCTATCTCATTCTCTCTCAAATGAATAAATAAAATCTTTAAAAAAAAAAAAAAAGAAGTAAATGAGGGACACCTGGGTGGCTCAGTCGGTTAGGCATCCGACTCTTGGTTTCGGCTCAGGTCATGATCTCAGGGTCATGGGATCAAGCCCCACATGGGGCTCTGCACTCGGCGTGGAGTCTGCTTGAGTTCTCTCTCTCCCTCTCCCACGGCCCCTCCTCTCCTCTTCCTCTCTCTAAAGAAGAAAAAAAGAAAGTAAATGGTATTTTGGATAAAGAGCCTAGTACACTGTGCAGCAATTAATAGGCCCCCAACAAATGGCCTTCATGATGGCCAAGTGGGACCTATTCCATAGCTGACCACAATTCAAAGCCCAGTCTAACACAGGGGCTGGGGCATGGCTGACAGAGGCAAAAGCTGAGGGAAAATTACAAAGTAGGGCTCGGGCTCCTCTGTTCAACACACATTTACTGAAAAAAAAAGGATTAAAATATAAAATTTTAAAAAAATAATTTTTTTAAAGAAATGAGCATTAATAGGGCGCCTGGGTGGCTCAGTCGTTAAGCGTCTGCCTTCGGCTCAGGTCATGATCCCAGGGTCCTGGGATCGAGTCCCACATTGGGCTCCCTGCTCGGCAGGAAGCCTGCTTCTCGCTCTCACACTCCCCCTGCTTGTGTTCCTGCTCTCGCTATCTCTCTCTCTGTCAAATAAATAAATAAAATCTTAAAAAAAAAAAAAAAGAAATGAGCATTAATAAATGAGTGTCCACCATATGCCAGGTCCCATGCTGGGCACTGGAGTCCAAAATGAGAAGGGAACAAGGGATGAGAGCAGAGGGTGGGAAGCCCTCTACCCCTAGACCCTCCCTATCACTACCCATCTGGCTTGAAATTCAAAGCCCAGCAAATTCAAGATACAGAGATGTGTTTTCATGGATAATAATATCACACCTTTTCTTTGCAGTTCCAAGAGGTATGGATCAGTATTTGTTCTGTGGTAAGTGAAATTTACTTGAGATGAAAGTTACCGTTGCCAAAGTTTTCAAACCCCATTTCCTTCATATGAAAACCTAATTTGTTAAGAATTTCCTTAAATTCTGGCCAGAGTACTATTCTTTCATCTTCTGTGTTTTTCCATGGTGTGAGATCCAGGAACCTGTTTGTAATAAAAAGAACAACAGATTGGCTAAAATGTGACTTACATTCCACTACAGATATCTATGAATAGATTCCCACTGACTTGATCCCTTGAATTGTATTATTTGGGTTATTAATGTGAAAGGAGGATATAACCTATAAAACCATGCATGTCCAAGACAAACGCCTCCTATAAAACAAGTAACCCTAGGGGCGCCTGGGTGGCTCAGTTGGTTAAGCAACTGCCTTCGGCTCAGGTCATGATCCTGGAGTCCCTGGATCGAGTCCCGCATCAGGCTCCCTGCTCGGCGGGGAGTCTGCTTCTCCCTCTGACACTCCCCCTTCTCATGCTCTCTCTCTCTATCTCATTCTCTCTCTCAAATAAATAAACAAAAAATCTTAAAAAAAATTAAAAAAAAACAAAAACAAGTAACCCTATAAATTCCAATATTAGCTCTTGGGCATTCTGAGTTTGCTCGCACACACTAATTAAACGCATGCACCGATTTGTTCATTAGGTCAAGAGCAGAGAGGAGGTGTCCACCTTTTTGGGGCTTTTCCTTTGACATCTGCATGGACCTGCGAGGATGTCAACAGTGCCCCCTGCCTTCTGTTAAAATGGTCAAACCTGGTGGGAATTCCTGAGGGAAGGGGTTCCTTAACTGCTGTGTACAACTCTTCAAAGCTTATCATGATCTAGTCTTGGAGTTTCAGCCTGTAAGAAATTAAGAACACAGGAGAAGGGAAACGGGGAAACATTGAGACATATTCCATATACAAATAGAAGATCATAGTTCTATCCCAGCAGACACAACAACCAGATCCCTTTTTAAAATGTTTATCCCTTTTAGCTCAGATATTATGTTTTAGCTTTTAAGATGCTGTCTTGAGGAGCACCTGGCTGGCTCAGTCGTTAAGCGTCTGCCTTTGGCTCAGGTCATGATCCCAGGCTCCTGGGATCGAGCCCCGCATCAGGCTCCCTGCCCCGCGGGAAGCCTGCTTCTCCCTCTCCCACTCCCCCTGCTTGTGTTCCCTCTCTCGCTGTGTCTCTCTCTGTCAAATAAATAAATAAAATCTTAAAAAGAAAAAAGATGCTGTCTTGAATTTTACAAGTTTATTCAAGGGGATGTGAAACAGAATTAGTAATCTAAATTAAAATGAAGACAGCAGACTTTGAAACAAGGGTTACCAGTCATAAAGCAAGTCTTCATAAATATACGTTGTGTGTTTATGTGTGTGTGCGAGGGAGGAAAAGAAGACAGAGAGAGAGAGAGAGAGAGAGGACCGATTGTAATCCTGCTTGCCTATATGGCAGGGTTGGGTTTTGTGTTGTACTGTGGTAGAAGTTGGATTGTAGAAGACAGAAGGAAAGACTGACAGCAGGGAAACATTCTTAATTCCTCTGATGCCTGCCCTGCCGGCTGAACCACCCCCCAACTCCACAGCCCTCAGCCCTCAGTTCGCCCTTCCTGTGCTCCTACTTCGTGTGGACTGAGTGACTTACGCTGGTCAAAAGGCTCTGTGCCAGGTGACATACCTGTGCAGGGGTTGTTGATGCTGCTTGGGACTGATATATCTTCTCAGAAATTTAGACAACACCATGAGAAGCCCATCTCTATGAGAATTCAAGGATCCACAGGAACAAAAATAAGATACAGTGATAAGAAAAGAAGAAAGGTTGGCCCTATTGGTCATTGATGGTACTAGGGGTTGTTTCTATCCTAGAAATGGTATGACCTTCAACCTTGGTCATCTTTCCTCCCTCTTCTCCTTCCGGATCCTGTTTAATTAATTCACAAATTCAATAAAAAGTTATTGAGAACTGAACACTTAACCAAACACTGGGATCCAAAGGTCATGAAGACATGGTCTCTGCTACCACAAATGTTGGTCTAGTTGGGGACAGCCAAGTATATCATGATTAGTGCAGAGCAGAGTACAGAAGCTAGAAGGACCCTAATACAGCCACTTGAAGCAGAATGAAGGCTGAGACACAGGATGAAGAATGTGTGTCAGGGAAGGTTACCTAGAAAGGACAAGGCTTGGGGTGAATTTTGAAGGATGAGCAACCAGTGAGTGGGCAAAAAGTGTGTGTGTGTGTGTGTGAATGAGAGTGAGCAGGGGGTGAGGAATTGGACAGAAGCCATATAAGGAAACAGCTGAAGAAGAAGGTGAGAGAAAGCTAGATGTGTGCGGAGTATTGCAGGTGGATCATAGGGCTGGGGTGGCAGATGCGCAGAGGTGTGGAGGCGTGGAGAGAGACTGGAAAGAGAGGAGGCCAGGGAGGTGTGTGGGGTCAGGTTGCAAGAGACCTTAAGTAGCAGTGGCAGGAACAGGAACAGGAACAGGTAAGGAACTGCTTTGTACCCTGAAAGCTGTAGAGTACCATGGGAGGACAGTAAGCAGAGGAGACAAATCAGATGGATGTTATGGAATGATTGCTTTGGCCGCAATGAAGTCACTGGCCTAGCAAAGGGCCAGACCAGAGGCAGGGTAAAGAGTTGAGAGTTAGGGCGCCTGGGTGGCTCAGTTGGTTAAGCGACTGCCTTCGGCTCAGGTATGATCCCGGAGTCCCGGGATCGAGTCCCGCATCGGGCTCCCTGCTCGGCAGGGAGTCTGCTCCCTCTGACCCTCCCCCCTCTCATGTGCTCTCTCTCTCCTCTCATCCTCTCTCTCAAATAAATAAATAAAATCTTAAAAAAAAAAAAAAAAAAGAGTTGAGTTACTGATGGAAGCCGGGTGAGAGCCTGACGAGTGGTAGTGTAGAAAGGAGGGGATGGGCGTAAGCAGGGCTAAGTAAACATATTTAAGAATTTCTCTCCACCCTCCTTCATGGAGCCCAGCTACCTCCAGCACAGTCAAGGAACCTTGGCCCTTTTAGAGTCTGAGAAATATACTCTGCAAACAGAGTGGGGCAATGTACCCTAAATTCTTGAGTGTGACTTCAACTCCTGTTTTTGTTGGTTTGTTTTTTTAATTTTTTTTTTAATGATCAACATTAAATCCTCTCCAGGTTTCCACTCCAGCCCCTCTACTCACCTCAGGAGGCTAGTCATCTTCCTGGCCTAAGAGCCAGGAGGACCTAGTTTGAGTCTTTAATGCTGAGTACTTCCTGGGACACTACAGAGATAGGCCCCAGCCCTTTATGCTATATATGATTTTGGAAGTGATTTCTCCTGGCCAGGCCCAGACACAATAGGTAATCCTTATGGAAAAATGGTAACATTTAAAAAATAAAAACCAACTTAATTAAAAGAAAAAAGTAATTAATATCATTACGCTGCCCAAAGATAATCACTCCTAACATTTTGCTGTTCGACATTCGTGTTCTTTTTCTGTGTGTATTATTAACATAGATGAGATTATTATTATATAGTTTTATACAGACAGATAGATCCTAATACCTTGTTCTTTTCACCTCACCTTATTATATGAACATTACTCGTGTTATTACAAACTTTTGGGGAAGGGTTATTTTCCTGGCTGTGTGATATTCCATCATGTGTGTGATGTTTACTTAGCCATTTCCCTAATGGTGGTTATTAGATTCATTCCAAGTTCTATTATAAATAACTCTCTAATGAAGATTTTTATGCAACCAGCTTTTCTCTGCATTTTCAATGATTTTCTTGAGGTAACTTTCCATTAGAATTACTGAGTCAAAGAAAATAAATATTTAACCTTCTTAATACAATTACCTCCATCAAGTCTACAAGTGGGTACTCTCTCCATCAATGGATAAAAGTGTGAAGATATGAGTTTGAAGCCAATTCTACTTCTTTTTTTTTTAAGATTTTATTTATTTATTTGACAGAGAGAGAGAGAGAGAGCCCAAGCAGGGGGAGGAACAGAGGGCGAGGGAGAAGCAGGCTCCCCACTGAGCAAGGAGCCTGATGTGGGGCTTGATCCCAGGACCCTGAGATCATGACCTGAGCCAAAGGCAGATGCTTAACTGACTGAGCCACCCCGAAGCTAATTCCATTGCTTATTGACTGAATTATTTGGGGCAAGTTGTTTAACCTCTCTGAGTCTAAGCTTCGTTATCTGTAAAATGGAGATGCCTACCTCACAGAATCATGAAATTTAAAAGATGTAGCATGTAATTGGGCACAAGGTCTGGTGCGCAGTAAGTGTTCAACCTAAATATTGGTTCCTTCTTCCCTTCTGCTATTCCTTTTTCCATTGTTGGGTAAAAATGAAATGACCTTCAGGTTTCTTCCATTTCCTATTAGTCAGGCATTTAGATCATGGTTGCAACATCTTAACCACAAGGCATGTGAAGTAGATAACTGCACAATAAGGGCACACTGTTTGTATTTGGCTTATAGAACCTTCTGATACTATGTAATTGAATTGCTAATAAATACTTGGTACATTTGTTACTGTTACTGCATTTCTGAACAGAGCTAGTGTTTTATATATTTTTCTATTTTTTCCTTATGCAAATTATTTACCAGCTCTGGTCTCAGCCTCCCCATCAGAAAAAATAAGGATAATACCTGTCCTATCTTTTTGTGGAATGAGCATTTCTTGCTAACTATGGAGCTTTTTACTCACAGACCAACAACCCACACACTGAACGAGATACAGATAGGATTAGCCACACAAGTCAGAGACACACAAAAGGAAGAGGAAAGAAGAAACTAACCTTTATCCAAAGTTTGTATTTTATGAATATTAATCACACACACACACACAATCATGAGAGGTGCTTCACAGGTACTCAGATTTAACAGACAGGGAAACTGAAATCCAGCAAGGTTAAGCAACTTTCTCAAGTTGCCAAGACACAACACTAAACCGTATCCTGAAATGCAGAAGGGCACGCTTCTGTTATATTGGCTTAGTCATTATTAACACTATCGTGGAGTTGAACAATTCATTGTTTTACTAACTTGCACGTTATTGCTTAGAGAGAAAAGCACAAGGTAAATTCATCTGGGAAATTTATTTTCTTAGTTCTGCTCAAAGGACCCCTTTAAAGGAAGCCGCATTGATAACTACAGTACATCAGTGACACCAGGGGAAACTGATGTGTGTGTGGTGAGGGGAAGGAAGAGTGAAAGCGATTTCACGATCCCTTAGTTTCATTTGTTTTCACATTATAAAATATATAAATTGGAAGACAGTTCAGAAAGGAGAGGCACAGAAGGAAAAGGCTTCTTCTATTCCTGAGAGCTCCTTTCACAGAAATATTCTTAGGACCAGTCAGAGTGATACCCCCACGCTACCCCCAAAAGGAATAAAGATGCAGGCAAAAAATTGGCCAAGAGTGTAAACTAAAAAACAAATATTTCTATCAGGTAAAACTACATGAAATTGCAGCTTTGTAGGCCCAAATCAGTCAAATATCATCATTTTCATGTTTCCACCTATATATGTGACATTGTTCCCTAAGTCTCGAGAGAGTTGTTTCTGGGAACTGACTTCAAAAGTGCCACTTGGTAGTTAGGGTTTTGGTGAGCTATTGCTTTTAAGTTCTATTTATCACTTTTAAAATGGAACTCAGAAATATTTTGACAGATATTTCAAACCACGTAAAAGAAAAATAACTTAATTACCACTGAATCTGTCTTCCAAGTCCTGTGCTTCTTTCATTTCTTCACCTGAAAAATCACACATAGAATAGGTAGAGTAGCTTTGCATATAATTTGGTGGCTAAATGCATAATACTGTATAGGAATATTTACATTACTCCAGCTATGGGAGGGGGTATTAAATAAGGGACTAGAAGCTCTGCTGCCCACTAGTTGTGTGCAAAGCTTGAGCAAAGTCACTCACCTTTCTGGACTTCAGTTTACATCTATATAAAATAAAGATAGTAACTTGCCTCGTGGAGTAATTTGTGAGTATGACATGAAACGTTATGAAGTGGGAGACCTTTATAATTATGAAGTTGTTATAAAATTACAAGAGCTGGTTATTGTATGTTAATAAAGAGCAATGCTGTGGATCACTGAGCATTATATCTCTGGTTTGAAAGAAGCTTTGATTGTTTTCAGTTACCTCTTGCAGGGTAAGGAGAGAGCCATCTACAAAGACAGGCTTCGCTTGATCCCAACCAACACCAAAGATAACGTGTCTGTGCTCTTGTTGACCAGTGAATGTGTTTAGTGTAGACAGACCCATCTCTAAGATTACTCTGTGGGCTTAACTGATGTAAACAGGCTTCACAAGGGGATCAGATCGATTGGGCAATTACGAAGTGCCCATTTTATGATTCCAGTTGTGTGGAGAGATGGTTGAAGACCACCTGGTTTCCTAGATTTTACCTATTTGCATATTCAGTGCATTCAGCCAATGTCACCTCAGCAAGTAGTCAGCGAGCATTCTTAGAAGATCTGCTTGGGCCCGGCGCCAAGACAAAGACCTGGCCATTGCCCTCCAGGGCCTCCCACCTGAGCCTGGGGGCCAGACAGGTGACTTATAACCAGGCTGTGGTAGCCAGCAGAGAAGACTTAAAAAGCTGTAGGGAAAGGGAGGAGGGAGAGAGCAATTCCAGCAGAAACCATTTATCAGGAAGCTCGGTTGAGAAGGAGGAATTAAGTCAAAGTGGGTGGCTAGGAAGGGAAGGAATTCAAATAGGTGGATTGTTCGATACAGGAAACCAGGAGGCTAGGTGGCCGGTCACCTGCCAGCTAAAGGCAGAATATGAGTAGAGATTGGGGGCTGGTGGTGCTGAGAGGGCTTTGAAGGCCAGCCAGGAACTGAGGCATTAGGACTTTATTCTGTAGGAAGCAGGGAGACATCCTAAAGGCCTCCAAGCAGGCACATAACGCAAACCAAGATGGAGGTCAGGTCTCTCATCTGAGGGTAGGTGGGGAGATTAAGGAACCTTTCGCTTCCCACTGACGCAGGAGCCCTGAAAGGCAGACATCCCTCAGGGTAGGCAACTGACCTGAACCGTAAGTTCCTTGAAGGGCAGGGTCAGGGTCTTAGTCACGTTTGTTTCCTTGCTGTCAAGCACAATGCCTGGTGATTAAAAAAGAAAGAGACAGGAAGGAGGGAGGGAGAGAGGAAGAACATTTGCTGAACGAATCAAATTCAGGCAGGGGTATGAATGCACTGGGATGCAGGCTGAGCCCGGGCCCCACAGGGCGAGTGTCTCACGGTCCAGCCCCAGCTTGGAGGGGTCGGGCAAGAGCCTCCCACCAACCCGGAGAAAGTTGCTCTCAAAACAGAGGTCGTAGCGCCTACCTCCGTTCTGCAGGACAACTAACCGTGACCACGGACGTGAAGGGCTTAGTCCAGGGAGCCGCACAAAGCGGTCACTGAATTAAGTTTGGGGGAGCTCAGTGTCCTGCAGGATGGTAGACACAGTGAAGGAACCTCTGGGGCCGGTGAAGGCCCGGAGGACGCTGGGCTTAGCGAGGAGGGGGGGCTCGTGTTCCCGCGTCGCACGCGAGCAGGACAAGCCCCCCCTCCCCACCCCCCCCCCCCGAGCCGGAGCGGACCCCCCGCCGCGCGCCCGCCCACTCACCTGCGGGCCGGCGCCCGCGGGCTCCGCTTGGGCAGCGCCCGAGCCCTGCGGGGCTCCCCCGGGGCGCCGTCTCCCCCGACGGCCGCGGCGCGGGGCCGGAGCCCGGGTGTCCGCCGCCCCGGGACCGCGCCGCGCGCTCGCAGGCGCTCCGGACGCCGCGGGGGTCGGGAGGGACGCGCGGAAGGCCGCGCCCTGCTTTCGCGGTCTCTGCCGCGGCGGTTTGGGGAGCCGCGGGTTGAGAAGGGGGCACCAAGACTGCAGAGTGCTCCGATGAGCGCCAGCGCCCTTCCGGCCTCCCCTCCACTGCCGCCGCCGCCCCGAGATCGCGCCCCTCGTCGCGCAGCCTCCGTCCCCGGCGTCCCTGGATTCTGTCCCGGAGGGGGCGCGAGGCGCAGGGCGGGCTGGAGGCTGGCACCGGCCGCGGCCCCAGCGCGCAGCACGCCTTCCGCACGGCGCTTCTCCGGAAGCCGAGGGAAGAGCCCTAGGGCGCGGACCCGACCCCAGCCGCACCCCGGGGTGGGTCTGCCACCCCAGGGCCCGAGCTGCCCCCCGGAGGCGCCCGGGGGCGGAGCGCGGGCGCCTGCCCGGCCCTCCCGGCGCAGGGATCTGGTCGCGCCGCGGGGTCGGTGGCCCGGGTGGGGGCCCGGGTGTTGGGGTCCTCTGAACCGCAGGCATGGGCCGGGCACGAGAAGGTAACTGCAAGAAAGGGGTTAATCTGAAAATAGCTCATTCTTTGTTCTTTGTATATTAAGCAAATCATCCCGCTCACCTCTGGATAAATCAGAAAACAGCCAAGATTTACCGAGTTAGGCAGCAGGTCCTACCGCCTCCCTAGCTCTCTGTTTTCTCAAAACAGCTACTACGGGCTGTGTACCTCTCTACACAGCTTCTCCGGGAAGGTTAGAATAAACAGGTCTTCTCCTTACCAGGACGTTCTATTAGCATTCCATGTTCTTTGCATTTCCACGTCAATTTTAGAATCAGTTTGTCAAGTTCTACCCCCAAAAGAGCTTGCAGGGATTTTGATCAGGGTTGCATTGGATCTGTTTTGTCAAATTTATTCCTAAATATTTCATATTTTTTATGCTATTGTAAATGTCATTTTTAAAAATATTTTATTTATTTAATTTAGAGAGAGCGCGCGCGCGAGCGAGCGAGCAGGGGGAAGGGCAAAGGGAGAGGGAAAGAATCCCAAATAGGCTCCCCGCTGAGCAGGCAGCCCGACCTGGGGCTGGATCTCAGGACCAGGACATCCTGACCTGAGCGGAATCAAGAGGCGGTGGCTTAACCACTGAGCCACCCAGGTGCCCTGTAAAAGTTACTTCTTAATTGAATTTCCAAGGGTTTAATGCTAGTATATAGAAATACAATTGATTTTTGTACATTGATCTCTTATTCTACTAAACCTTGATACTGGATTTCTAGCTCCCAGAACTGTGAGAAAATAAAGTTTTGCTGTGTTGAAGCACCCAATTTGTGGAAATTTGTTACAGCAGCCCTAGGAAATGAATACAAAGATATTGCAGTCCTCAACTGTAATTGTGGATTTGTCTATTTCTCCTTGTAATTACATCAATTTCTGTTTCATGTATCTTAAAGCTCTGTTTTTAGATGAATAAACATATAGGATTGTTGTGTCCTCTTGAGAAACCAACACCTTCCTCCTTATGAAATGATCTTCTTCACCCCTCATGACATTCTTTCTCTTACAGCTTTTTCTACCTGTTTACTTTTAGCCTATTTGTGTCTTATGTTTAAAGTGCATTTCTTATGGCAGGCAGGTACTTGGGGTCTTGCTTTCTTTTCCCATATGATAGTCACTGCTTTGACTTTATTCTTTTTGTTTACTAGTTTGAGGCTTCATTTGTATGTCTTTTTAAAAGTAGGGAGGTTTTTTTCCCCCGGTAGTTTCATGTACTATTGACAAGTTTTTAGTAAAAATCAGAGACCTGGAATGGCTACATATGATCTCCCTCTAGTGGCCACATTGAATTAATGTTATGAAATTCAAACTGTTGTTTCAGAGCACAACCTCTCCCTGGCAAGCTATGCCTATTAAACAGTTGTGTCAACCTCTTATTAATATGACTTTAGTGTTTCCCACAGCAGTGAATAAACCCCTCATGGTCCCAAGAGATGCCCAGTGTTTAAATAGTCCAAGAAGGGAAACTCGGCAATCTTGAAACCTGACAGTATAGTAGCCACCCAAAATAATTAACCGTTATGGTGTTATTAATACCTTAATAAGAAATTCAGAAAATATATAATGGTTGACGTAGGATAGTCATGGAAAATAAGGAATGAAAATGATGACTTTCAAAAACATTCAGAAGACAAATAGAAAGCCTAAAATAAAGTGACAGAAATAAACATTTTAAATATGTGTAGTCATTCCTTTGCAGCTTCCTTTGAATCTATAATTATTTCAACAAAATTTAACATATCAGTGGTCATGATAAATGGACATGGATCCAAACTCTCTAGCCAAAAGAATCAACATTTTTCTTAAAAAAGGAAAAAAATAAAATATGGACGTTTACAGAGAACGTACATAAAACATACAGAATGGAGAAAAGTAAAGGGCTAGAAAAAGACTAACTAAGAGAATACAGACCAAATGACACCAGGTATTGCTTTGTTCCTTTAGGGGGAAAAGACTTTAAGGTGAAAGCATTAATGCAGATAAAGAGGATCACAACTTAAGGATTAAAAGTTAAATTTACTAGGAAGGAATAACAATTCAAATCTTGTATTCCTTTAAAATTAAAACCCTAAAATATGTAAAGGAAAATTTGACAGAGCCACAAGGAGCGATTGATAAGACAACCATTAGCGTGGCTATGATTTTATATGGCAGACAATCGTTATAATCATATTTCTGCTAGTATAATTACTACTACTTTATATGATGAAATTCTGTATACCTATATTTCATACTGCTCCACAAAAACTATGGAAAAAGTTGAGAACTGTTGCACTAGAAATTGAAGCATTTTATTTCCTATTGATTGAACAACTATTATGTTTAAGGTATCATGGTGTCTTCTATATGCTAAAAGAGTAAGCTGTTGTACTTATTTCGTTTAGCCATTTAAAAATGTGTTAGCTGGCGGGGTCTGGGTGGCTCAGTCAGTTAAGCGTCTGACTCTTGATTTTGGCTCGGGTCATGATCTCGGGGAGATGGAGCTCTGTGCTGATGATGGAACCTCCTTAGGATTCTCTGTTTCCCTTTGGTCTGCCTCTCCCCAACGCCTCCCCCCCCCCACGTTCTCTTTTCTCTCTCTCTCTCTCTAAAAAAAAAAATGCAAAAGCTGGAGTTTCATAGAGCATTGTAGGGAAAACTATAGCTTTCTCTAACTATAGTTATAGCCCTGAAGTTCCTCCCTCCCCCATCTCTCTCTCTCTGTCAATTAAGTCTGTGTCTCCTTAAATAAATAAATGTGCTTGATGGAACAAGCAACAGTAAAGAATTTCGAAAATTATGATATGTCTTTGGTATATTTTCTTTTAAAACTAAGAAAATACTATAGCAAGTACAAATATTGGCTTAGAAACTCAACTGTGCAAGGCAACCTAATTTCTATTAAGAGACTCCATTCTGTCACGTGGTGAAAACAATTTGGGTCCCTTTTTCTCTTCCCCTTTGGCAATGATTTACATATAAATCCCAGGGATTTCTATAGTACTAAAGATGGGAAGGGAGGGGCATATGGTCTGGATCTTCACCTATCCATGCGGGCATCAGCTGCCAGGTCCTTATCCCCTTCTGGTCTTCGGTCACCACTCCATCAAGGTCATTCTTGACATTTGCCTCATTTCCAACCATGACACTCTCCAGGTCTGGCTTGTTTTCAGCTAACTTGGTTGTCCTTGGATACAAAATGCTGTTCTGCTTCTCCCAGGCCACACTGTGGCAGGAGAAACTAATGCGGGCTCTCAAAGGTCCTTTGAACCAGCAGGCTACCCTTCAGGTACTGGAATGTGTTCTCCTGTTCCCTTATTATCCTCGATGAGCTCTGTAAGGCTGTCTCTGATCTGTGTACTAACACATCACCCAGTCATTTATCTCCTGGCTTCTTGCTGCCTCTCTGAGCTGGAGGAGAGTACCGCACCCCTATTTCTCAAGGACCCACACTGACCTTCCTTTCTCCCCAGGTTTGGGGAAACTTGATGTAATCTTTGGAAGGATGGGGTGGGCAGGAAAATTTGCTTTTCTTCAGGTATTCTACCAAATCTACTTTTTATACTTGAAATCCTTCTCTTTTGGAAATTCTAATTCTAATGCTAAGAATAGTTTTCATTTTCTCTGCTTTCCGAATGTTTTTCTTTTCCCCTGAGGCCATGACACAGAATGTCTATCTATCTGCATGAGAAAAGGGTCATGGGAAACAAACAAGCATATAGGAAAAAAACCCTCATGCGTTAAAATAGCAAAATATTGTTATTCAACAGTACAGAGGAGCAAAAATGGTCTCACTGATAACATTTATTAAACATTGATTTTAATAGTAACAGGGATTATCCTGTTGATGAAGCGAAAGCAGAGGTGCCCCTGAATCATAAAAAAGGTGGTGTGGTGTTTTAGTATGCAGGACAGACAGACTTACAGACTTCATTGAAATGCTTTTAAAAATGATGGGTGGGGGGTGTCTGGGTGGCTCAGTCAGTTGAGCGTCTGCCTTCGCTCAGGTCATGATCCAGGGGTCCTGGGATTGAGCCCCACGTCGGGCTCCTTGCCCAGTGGGGAGTCTGCTTCTCCCTCTGTCTACCTCTCTGCCTACTTGTGCTCTCTCTCTTTCTCTGTCAAATAAATAAATAAAATCTTAAAAAAGATGGGTAGGGGGCACCTGGCTGGCTCAGTTGGAAGAGCAGGCGACTCTTGATCTTGGGTCGTGAGTTCAAGCCCCACATTGGGTGTAGAGGTTACTTAAATAAAACTTTAAAAAAATTATTGGTAAGTTGTATGAAACACTAAATACTGGGAAAGCCATTTCAAAAGGTACTTAAAAATCAATCACGTCAACTCCAAGTAAGTAATGGCTTTATTCACAGAGAATGCAAGTCAGAAACCAGAAGTGTCAATGTGGAAGGTAGATAGTTATAGCCGGAGGCATTATTACTACCCATAAAATTAAGCTTAATTGTGCAATAAAATACCGAATATGCTTGTTGGAGTCTTGGATAAAGTAAGGAGGAGATGCTAAGATTATGAATGGCAGAGAAGTTATGGAACTCTCTTTAGCAAGGGGCTCTACCTGTGTTAGTTGGGGATGGAGAGTGCCCCAGCTCCCCTGCCTCCAGCAACCACTGAGCTACTTTCTCCAGGGATCAGGGCCTTCCAGAAGAAGTCCCTCTCTCTGAACACCTTTTTATTTTTTATGATTCAGGGACTCCTCTGCCACCAGAAATCACATCTTTTAAATAATAGTGACTAAAATCTTTCTAACCAAACTTTTTGTTTCATAAGCATCCATAAAATGTTAATAAGACAAACTTTGACTGAAGTACCCCATTGACAGTCATTCAGCTGGGAGTACAACCAGACCCCAGATGGACCCTGTCCCACTGCACGGGAATCGCTATGTAGACATCAGAAGTATGTGTGTTCCTGCCACGTCAGCACCTCTCTCTAGGACAACAATCTTACCTTTCTGATTTTCCTATCACCAGGAGCCTCCAAAGTTTTCAGTGTCTTAAGTGAGGATGCAATAATGCTTGTTGAAAGATTTTGAAAAAGAAAAAAGTGAATGATTGAATAAATAAATTAGGTGTTAGTGGTTCAGATAATCTCTATGTTGATGTGGAAAAGTAGGAGGAAAATGCATACCCAAGGGAGCTGACTACTAAAGGTAAGAAGGTTCTAGAATGAACAATGGGTTAAAAAAAAAGACACATTTTGTAGTTTCATAGTTTTGCTTGGCATTAGCTACAATAGGAACCGGTAGTTGAAGCATGGTTGAAGGAATCCTCATAACTTCTGAAGGTATGTGGTGTGCATGTTCACTTTAATGGCACCTGATTATAAAGAACTTGTCAATTAAGATATTGTTCTTATTAGCTAAGCTACCCTGAGCAAGAATTGCAGAGAAATATTGCATTTGTTTTGTTTTGCCTTTTTGAAAGGAATGCATCAATGTGAATGTGTCTATTAAATACTTTTGAATGAAATTCAGAAATTCATGTGGGGTCTTACATGATCAAAAAAAAATAAACTTTCAGAATTCATTCCTCTCTGCTTAATGCTGAAATTTACCATGTGAACAAATAGTAAGGTATGTTCTAATTACTAACAGTTTTAGATCTATACCTACACACATTGTCAGCACTATAAACAAATCCTTAAATGTTTTTTCTTTATTTCTTGTGCCTTTTACTCTTTAGCAGATCCCATTCTCTATTCCCAGTTTGGTAAAATATTTAAGACTCTTTAAAAGTTTCTACTAAGGGCGCCTGGGTGGCTCAGTCGGTTAAGCGACTGCCTTCGGCTCAGGTCATGATCCTGGAGTCCCGGGATCGAGTCCCGCATCGGGCTCCCTGCTCGGCAGGGAGTCTGCTTCTCCCTCTGACCCTCCTCCCTCTCATGCTCTCTCTATCTCATTCTCTCTGTCTCAAATAAATAAATAAAATCTTAAAAAAAAAAAATTAAAAAAAAAAAAGTTTCTACTAAAAATAAAAAAGACTAGCTCAATACCCTACTCTCATTTCTAGACAGCCCTGTCCCCCCCACCCCGCCCCACTACCCAGCCTCTAGGACACCATGCCACATTTGAAAGCAGAGTTTTCTCTCTGATATCCCAGATGCCTTGTCCATTCTCATGCTGGCAGAAAACCACTGAGTGCTGGGATCGGTGGGTAGACACATGTTCTGCTGAGCACCATTCTCTCCCCTGCCTGTGTAAGTGATACCTGGATCTTGTGATCACAGGCAGCTCATGCTCCTGAGGGCATCTGAGGTCTCTCTTTTCTGAGAAAGTCCATGAAGGAAGAGGACAGTGTATAGATTTCCGTGGAAAACCTCTTGTCAAGGATTCCAGCTACAGCTTGCCCTACATGACAGGATAATTGGACAGAAGCCAAGAAGAAATATGATATCTTCCATTTAGAAAATATAATAAATTGTGATTAGTAAAGTCAAGTGCAACAAAGATGATAATACTTCCTGAATTAATGTTAATATTTAATTTAATTTTAATATCTGTTAAAAATCTTCTAGTGATATTTAACTAATTGAACAACTTGATAAAAAAACAATTCCAGACATAGAAGCCGACAAACCTTTTTTTTTTAAGTGGTTATAGAATCACATATAAGTTGTTCTTTTTTAAAGATCAATGATCAAATAAATGAGTCATGGTATGGTGATTTCACTAATTAAAGCTATTATAAGAACATAATATATGACAAACTAGAATTAGTAATCCAAGGCAAATAACGGAGAAAAGAAAATATCTACTTAAGAACTAGAGTTGGGGCGGGGGGATCCCTGGGTGGCTCAGTCGGTTAAGCATCCAATTCTTGGTTTCGGCTCAGGTCATGAACTTGGGGTCATGAGATTGAGTCCTGCGTTGGACTCTGCTCAGCACCGAGTCTGTTTCAGGTTCTCTCTCTTCCCACTCTGCTCCTCCCCCCACTTGCTCCTGTGTGTGCATGCTCTCTCTCTCTCTCAAATAAATAAATAAAATCTTAAAAAAAACAAAAGAATTAGTGTTGGGATACCTGAGAATGATATGGTATGAAATTAGACCAAAGAAGTAGGCGGGGCGCCTGGGTGGCTCAGTCGGTTAAGCTTCTGCCTTCTGCTCAGCTCATGATTTGGGGGTCCTGGGATTGAGCCCTGTGTGGGGCTCCCTGCTCAGCAGGGAGTCTGCTTCTCCCTCTCCCTCTGCTCCTCACCCTGCTTGTGCTCTCTTTCAAATAAATAAATAAAATCTTAAAAAAAAAAAAAAAGAAGTAGAAGGAAATAGGCTAGTAGGGCAAATAGACTACTATATCTACAAAAGAGATACATTTACATCAGAACATGAAGTATATCATCATATGGATCTGTTCATATTTAAATAAATAACAATGTTAGAACAATGTAAGAAAAAATATCAAAAGAAAAACAACAGAATGAAAAGTGCTTAACATACTGCTCTAAATATATAAAGAATTTTAAATATAAATACTCTGCTTTCACGCCATAGGCAGTCAAGGAAGATTAAAAATGGATACCAAAGGAAAACCCTGACAAACTAAAGCGAATCACATGGGATATGTGCAGTTTCATAGCAATTAAAGAGGTGCAAATTAGAACTCATAAAATGGCACAAATAACTAAAAGATGCTTTTTTTAAAGGCAGTGTTGGAGGAGGATCTGTAACCATTTGACATTTTGCTGGTGGGCTGCATTATTTCTGAAGAGCAACCTCTCAGTGTGTAGCAAGAGCTAAAAATCTTTTAAAACATTTAATCTACCCATTCCATTTTACATAAGAGAAAAGAGAAGGAAAAATCATAAAGGGAAAAATGAAATTTGTGCAAAGTACATAGCAGCATTATTTTTCCTAGTAAAAACAAGAAACATCTCTAATGCTCAAAGTGAAATGGTTTAGGCAACTGCTTAATATTAAGAGAATGGAATATAGCGCACTATTATGTGGATTAGGTTGATCCATAAAAATCTATACATGAGGCTGTAAGAAATAAAGCTAAGTGACAAATATGTCCACTGCTAAACAGTAAGCTTCTTGGGAGACTGAACCATCTCTTACTCATACTGAATCCGCAGGGTCAAACTTTGTTCCTGGTACAGGATAAATGCTCCAGCGCATGTTGAATGAATGCTTGAATGGCTTTTCTATTAATGCTGAATTCTTGACCTTCTGCCCGCTCTGACCTTGGTAAACTTGCATTTGCTAGCTTTCACACGGCTCGCCTAGATTTCTGGACTCTAGCCTGCCCAGCCTCAGATAAATGCATACCCTTTGTGGTCCTGGCACCTAACTGGTGACCTCTGCCCTACCGAGGGCTCCATACCCGGGGAGTCAGACAGCTTTAGTTCAGTTAACAGCTAACGTGAAGTCTGCATTCATCGGCAAGCTTGTGGGGAAAAAAATGCATAAACTTTGTCAAATGTACAAAACTGGGAAGAAACTTGAGTGAGTCTCCCCACTCCTCCGTGCCTAGCATAAAGAGGTAAATACAGACAGGGATTCGACCTTTTCTTACTTGACATCCCAGTCACCCAGGTACTCCGACGGGAAGGCTAACAGCACTAGCCTCAAGAAGCCTCCAGCTGCCCCAGAACATTCTGCCCAGAGTATGTCCCGAGATTCTGTTGACAGCGGAGTAGCACATGAAGCCCTTTCGGGATTTACAGAAGTGTCCAGTCCCCCCTGCACTCGGGCGGATTTCCCCTTTCCTGCTGGCGCTGGATGCCAGGCCCGTAAGTATTTCATGGTGGAATGAACGATTGGAATGATTGAATGGCGGGAAGAGGGGATTCGGCAGGTTGCCAGATTGTGAGGTTAGCATTTATTTTGGAGGATCTTATTAATTTGCAGAGCACACAACTCTGAATTCAGAGGCCCAAATCCAAGCAGTGAGCGTGGTGAGGGACACCGTTACAAGGAAGAGGAAAGGGCGCCTGGGTGGCTCAGTCGTTAAGCGTCTGCCTTCGGCTCAGGTCATGATCCCAGAGTCCTGGGATCGAGTCCCACATCGGGCTCCCTGCTCGGCAGGAAGCCCGCTTCTCCCTCTCCCACTCCCCCTGCTTGTGTTCCTGCTCTCGCTGTCTCTCTCTCTGTCAAATAAATAAATAACATCTTTAAAAAAAAAAAAAAAGGAAGAGGAAAAAAACCCAGCCTGAACTCCTTGGCCAGCAGCGGGTCCCGTGCAGGCCCGAGGTTAAAGAAAGCCCTGCTTGAGGCATCGGTCCCGTGTCTGTCCCCGGGTCGGCCCCAGCCTAAGCCTTCTTGTGCTATAAATACAGCGGCCCACATGCTGCAGAGACACGGTGTTCCCTCTGCTCGCCGGGACAGATAACATGAATTTGCCCTTTAAACGTCCCAAGCTGAAGGCACAGCCCCCGGCCCACCCCTGCCTCCCGGAAGCGCCTTCGCCCCGGGTGCCCTCTGCCGCGGAGGGGGACGGCGAGGGGGTGTGCAGGCACCTGCGCAGCCAATGCGCAGTGCGCGCGCGGCCCCGGGGGTGCCTCCTCCTCTCGCGAGAGCCCAGGCGGGGGATATAAGGAGGGCTGCGGGGCGAGGCGAGCGGCCCCTTCGCGTCGCGCAGGGACGGAGAGCGGGTGGCCGTGCCTGGCCGGGCGGAGGCGAGAGCGCGGGCGCGAGCGCGAGCGCGGCTCCCGGAGGCTGTGTGCGCCCGGCTGTCACCATGAGTGATCACGCGTTGAGCTTCCTGAAGGATTTCCTGGCCGGCGGCGTCGCCGCTGCCGTGTCCAAGACCGCGGTCGCCCCCATCGAGAGGGTCAAACTGCTGCTGCAGGTGGGGACGGCGCGGGCGCGGGCGCAGCGAGCCGGGTGCGGGCCGGGCAGGGCGCGGGGGACGCGGGCGAGCTGCAGCGGCGAGGGGGCGCGGGGCGGGCCAGCCGCAGCCAATCTGTGCTAGGCCACAGGCCCCGGCGCCCGGCCTACGCGAAGGGGAAGGTGCCCTCTGCGTAGACAGGTCCAGCGTCAGTAGCAGATTCCTGGTGTCGGGTGGCGCCCAGCGTTCGGGTGTCTATATATGGAAACCCACCCGGGGTAGGTTGCAGCCAGCCAGATCCTGCTCCTGGGACAGCACTGACCCTCCACTTAGGCCTCACCTTTAGATTTTCAGTGTCCCTTGCACCCTTTTTTCCTGCATCCACCTTCTACAATACAAACCTCAGAATCATTATTACTCAAAAACTCGCGTAGTGTGTCCCATGCACCATGCTGTAGGCTGACATATATTTCATTTATCTTTGTATAACCTCTGTTAGATAGATACTATTCCCCCTATTTTACAGCTGAAGAAAGAGGTTTTGAGAGATTAAGAAACAGTTTTCAGAGTAGACTCATATTGTCTTACTTACCCCGTCCCCAAATCTTTTCCTCTGCAGTCTGGTCTCTGGTTTATCAGTCTTCTCCTCATCCTCATTCTCATCCTGTCTATCGTGTTTGTCTCTACTTGCCCAAAAGGCAAGGGCCCCTCAATGAGAAACTCAGCCTCCTCAATTTGGGAGTCAAAATTATGATAAAGAAAAAACCCAACTGCTCACTCACAGCAACAAACCCCTCAATAATCAATTACTTGGATAATCTGCTTGAAAATTTTCAGGCTGTAATACCTAGTGGATTTATTCTACTTCTGTGAGAGTATCTACTCCTCTGAGATCCTGGTCTCCAGGGAGATTCAGTGAGACTGAGGAATCATTATCTCCTGCCTGTCCATCATGTTTGTTATATCAGAGCAGGTACCCTTTAGGGCAGGGATCTTTAATCATTTCAATCTCCCGATAAGCCCCTAGTGTAGTTCTGGCAGTGCATAAATGACTCTACAATGGAATCTTTTCGGTTTATTTGGGGAAGAACCTTTTCTCTCAAGTGCCCTGATAACTGAGGCAAAAGTGGATTTTTTTGGCTTGTTTCCAAGTAGCTAACGTACTTACTTAGATTTAGTTAATATCTGCTTGATTTCCCCATATATTTTTTTAAGAAAGGAAATCAAAGAGTTGTACACGTTCATTTGCTCCTGTCCACTTTCCTTCTCCCTCTGCTCTGGCCATCCTTACCCAATTCCTCCCCTCCCTCTCCTCCCCCCACAGGTCCAGCATGCCAGCCAACAGATCAGTGCCGAGAAGCAGTACAAAGGGATCATTGATTGTGTGGTGAGAATCCCCAAGGAGCAGGGCTTTCTCTCCTTCTGGAGGGGTAACCTGGCCAACGTGATCCGTTACTTCCCCACCCAAGCTCTCAACTTCGCTTTCAAGGACAAGTACAAGCAGATCTTCCTGGGGGGTGTGGACCGGCATAAGCAATTCTGGCGCTACTTTGCTGGTAACCTGGCTTCCGGTGGGGCAGCTGGGGCCACCTCCCTCTGCTTTGTCTACCCGCTGGACTTTGCTAGGACCAGGTTGGCTGCCGATGTGGGCAAGGGTGCTGCCCAGCGCGAGTTCAGTGGTCTGGGTGACTGTCTCACCAAGATCTTCAAGTCCGATGGCCTGAGGGGTCTCTACCAGGGTTTCAACGTCTCTGTCCAGGGCATCATTATCTACAGAGCGGCCTACTTCGGAGTCTATGATACTGCCAAGGGTGAGAGAGGGGCCTCAGGGGGTGCGGAGTGGGGAGGAAGAAGGTCCCCAGGGGTCTGTAACTCATGTTCTAGTCCCTGGGCTAAACGATGCTTCTGAATGAGGAGGTGGTATGGTGTGGATAAATAGCTAAAGGACTCTCCTTGTCCCCTTCTGAAATAAACTCTGGCCTTGAATTATTCAGAGAGCAAGAAGGGAGCCTGCTTCCCCCTTGGCACAGCTCTGTCAGTGACCAGGTTGAACTTGGAGCCTCTTCAACATGCCCTGTACACTGGGCACAACTCTGGCTTCCCTGGATCCAGAGGGCAGTCCCGGCTTTGGTTGGCTGCCTGGTTGTGAGGCACCCGTAATGGGCAGGGTCTTTCAGAAGGGTAGGGCATGGAGTTGGAGGTATGGTAGCCTCTTCTCCGTCCCGACTTGCCTTTGGCTGAGCTGCTGAGAGAAATCACTTCACAGCCATTTGGCTTCTTGCCTCTGCTCACAGGGATGTTGCCTGACCCCAAGAATGTGCACATTATTGTGAGCTGGATGATTGCCCAGAGTGTGACAGCGGTCGCAGGGCTGGTGTCCTACCCCTTTGACACTGTCCGCCGTAGGATGATGATGCAGTCTGGCCGGAAAGGGGGTAAGCCTGACACCTACTGGTCTCTTATTTCTCTGCCCAAGGGGCAGTTCAGTGCTCTTTCCAGTCTTCACTATTCCGGTTGTTAAAATTACGTGGTAAGAACTTAGGAAAGAAGCTTTATAGTTAGTCCCCCTTAACACTGTCAACTGTTCCTTTAGAGAAAAGAATGTGTTCCTATCAAAGAAATAAGAACATCAAAAATGAGATATTTAGAGGTGAACTTAACTAAGTATCTAATATCATAGAGGCTGTAGGCCCTTTTCCCTTAGAGCCTGGGTACAGAAATACAGGAAACTAATTAATTAGCCAGTTTATCTAAAAATAATTCTTGCTTTTGTTATCTAGCTGTTACAAGTTTTAGTGGGAGAGGGTGCTTTTGCTGGGTGCCATGGCCTGAAGCCATTTTGGCTTCCAGAGGTTGAAACATGAAACTGCCAATTTTAGCGTTGAAAAGTCAAGTATTAGTTCCATTTGCTTCAACCGAACAGTTGTTATCTCTTTTAACTGTGCCACCTTGGGCAATATAATCTGAGACTCTGCCCATAAAATTTTCTTTTCTCATCCCTAAAAAGGGGGACCACCCAGCTTAATACTTCCACTCCACCCCAGCCCCTCCCATTTTACAGTCTGACCATGTGTGAGTTAGCTAGTTAATTGCCCTAGTTCTTTACCTGATTTTGGGTGGAAGGAGTAGGATTGACAAGAAATGCTGCCTGACGGTTATGCAAGAAGGGGGTGTCTGGCTGGACACCGCATAGAGTTGGGGCTTAGAGCTCAAGTGACTGGCTTTTCTAACACTGTGTGTAGATGTCTTTCAAAGGAAAAGCCTCTTCCTCCAGAATTACAGAGCCCTTACCAACATTTGTTTCCACAGCGGATATTATGTACAGTGGGACGGTGGACTGCTGGAGGAAGATTGCAAAAGATGAAGGAGCCAAGGCTTTCTTCAAAGGTGCCTGGTCCAATGTGTTGAGAGGCATGGGCGGAGCTTTTGTATTGGTGTTGTATGATGAGATCAAAAAATACGTCTAATATAGTTAAAACTCAAGGTCATTGGTTCCAGATCCATTGTGTGGTTTAATAGACTTTTCCTATGGGAAGTAAAAGAAAGATCTGGGATAAAACCAGACTGAAAGGAATACCTCAGAAAAAAAAAGCCTCACTGAGTGTTCATTAAACCACAAATGTATTTTGTATTTATTTTACATTTAAATTCCGTCAGATAGAAAATAACTTATCATACTTGTACAATTAACTGAAGAACTGATAATGAAGAAGATAACCGAATGTGAAATCTCAATAAAGACCACTTAATGCCCCATGTTTTTTTGACTTCTTATTAACTGCTACGTGGATTTAAACATAAGACCA